GGGGTGGGGGGGGGCAGATCCAGACACTCCGCTCCACAAACATGAAAGTCTGCATGGAGAGTAAAAGAAAATTTAAAACTCCATTTATTTAATGCCTGCTTTTAGGTCACATACTCTAGAGATGAGATGCACAGAAGCACTGGAGACTTGTCACTCTTTTAGGGGACTTATTAGTCGTTTATAGTCACGCCTCTGCACCAGAATGGGTGAGTCCAAACCGTTAGCAGAAGACTTTCATCTCTGTAACACTTCATGGCAATCTGTAAGAAAAAGACACGAACACGGTGCCGCATACCAATTCCAGTGAATTTTTAGCATCTCTTCACAACAATCTTGAATGCCAAGATCTCTAAAATATTCCATATTTTTATATTTTCTAGTTTCGTCTTTTCTATCTGCTGCACGAGATGTAGTCAGTTTCAGGCAATTAGTCAAGGGTTTGGCCCTGTAAGTGCCACATTTATATTTGGAGGGATGGGGGTGCTATGCTCACGTTTTCTCAACACACTCATTGCACAAATGTACAAAGAAATACTGAACAGAAGTACAAAAAAAAGCACTGTTTGCTTTCCAAAGCAAAAAGCAGAGGAAACGTGACTATTACTATTTTCAACCACGAGAAACGCCCTGATATATGGTAACAAAGTACAAAAAATTTAAGCACTGGCGAAAGAATATGAAAAATTCTTAACCCTGTGCTCAGTTAACCAATTCTTGGCAACAGAACTGTAAGCCACATGTTTATTCTCAATTTGGGGGCCAAGAAATGTCAATTTTATTCTAACACCCACAAATATTCACTACTAATCTTACTACAGACTGCAATTGTTTTGCATACATCAAACTTGCACTATCAATTTGAAAATATTTTCTACATTAAATACATTAATTTTCATCAATAAATTTCCAGGGTAGTACATGTTACAACTAAATGATTTTCTTACCTATATTTGTAATTAGGCTACAGACTACCAAGAAAATGAACAGACCACCCAGATATTAGAATAAACAAAATTCAACCAACGCACTTTAACCATTCACTTCAATTTTACGACATTTATCACCAAACATATTTCACAGCTTCTCTCATACAAACTAAATAACATTCTTCAAATACTCTCCCAGGTGAAAACACCAGCATCCTGTTTTCCCCAGGAGGTGAAAAAAATTTGAATCACTCAAAAGTCAATTTTAAAATATTTCTCAAAGGTTAGATGACTGTACTGTTTATTTATTAACATATTCTACGAACAGGACGTTAATTATACATCACGTGATGAATGCATGAGTCCATTATTAAAAATCCCCCCCCCAACTTCAGCATAGGGATGAAAGCTCCTATTCCGTGAAAGTGCATGTTATGGCGAAGCTGATCCCCTGCTACTTAAGCGATGTCATTTCAACTTGGCCACTTATGATACCTAATGGTGGTTAAATAAGTCAATTCAACTTTAATTAGACTATTAAAAACAAACAAATCTCAGTAGCACAAATTTTTGGCCCCTACTATTTCAAAGGATTCATAAGAAGATTACATTGTACTGATATTCAAGATATACTTGGGAGGAACAAACGTGTGCAAATTACCTCAGTGAAAGCATTCTTATCTATTAATCTATTGAGGTTCCTGAGAGGAGCTGGAGTGTGAGGGAACGTTGAATACAAGTTCCTGTGATGGCAGCCATAGACATCAATGTAACAGGTGTTGACTGCTCACTGTCCATTATAAGGCTCAACTGTCAATGGATATAAGGTCCAAGCGGCCACTTCTGGAAATTTGAGGTTTACGGTCAATCAAAATTAGTTCCTTCCAGCCCACTGGCTCATACAGCGAAAGCCGAGACCAAAAATCAAGTTCCTCCAAGCTGATAACATCAATAGAAGGATTGAAGATGCACTGTATGGGGTAATCAGGGCATTGATAATCACAGTGGAAATGAAAAATTCCATCAAATGATCTTCTAAATTAATCGAGGCAAACAGTTACAGCCATAACTACTTTGTTTTTATTTAAAACAATAAGACTAGTACTCATTTCAGATGACTTCATGAAACACATTAATAAATGTCACCCATTTTGGAAAAGTAATTTCATCAAAACAGCCTCCTCAGATGATGGATCTCCACAGGGGCTTGCCTGTTTCCTTAGGTACGCTAGACATACAACACAAACAGGAAATGAAAATCGAGATGTCAACTTACTGCACTGGAGTCCACATCGCTATGTACTGCAACAGTTTTGATGCCCATCTTTTTACAGGTTTTCATTACCTGTGGATGCAAAACAGTTTGTTAACTTGATGGGAGCCATCATCTTTAAAAAGCTTTTACACTGAATTAAAATGAGGAATGGAGGCACTTACCCTGCAAGCAATTTCCCCCCTGTTTGCAATAAGAATCTTGTCAAAAGTCTGCCAGGACAAACAAACATTTGTAAGTACTGTCAAACAACTGTCTAAAAAGTCTCCAGCAATATTACTGTAAAGTTATAAAAGTTTCAATAAAAAGTTGTTCTAAGTCTTATAGGCAAATCATGAAAGGATTTATACCACAAAACAATTCTTTATATTCTTTATTTTCTGATATCCAATACAATTTGACATTCATCCCCAATAAAAGTTAAAATTTTCAAAGGTTAAATCACAAATGAGACTTACCAGTTTTAAAAATACATGCAAACAAACAATCGTTTAATATAATTTTAAAACTATTCGTTTTCAATTATTTTTTCAATGTTTACAGCAAATTCATTGGCCATTTGTTGCATTTGATCGAAGCTAATTGTTGTTAAGTGCATTTTTATCCTGCCACAAACAACACAACACTCCACTCAGAAGATTCAATGACCACCTATGTCTCTGCCAGTTTCTTTCAGGGGAACTGAAATGTGTACATAAAAATAAAAGCATCACATTTAGAGTGGGGACAGCAGTCATAAGCTTAAGTCAAGTCATTACCATTTGTTTGCTTCTGTACCATCTTTCATGGGTTAGAAACTAAGGAACATCTCTCCAGAGGCAGCCATTACAGGTCCAGAAAGTAACAATCCAGACCAGGATTTTGGTTCAACCAACCAATTGAGTACTCTGTGAGTGTGACTCTTTATGCTCAACTGGTTGGTTGAAACAAAATCCTGGTTAGGATTTTTACTTTCTGGACCTGAAATGTCCACCTCTGTATCTCTCACATCTTTTGCTAACCCCGGACATTCAGTTTGTAATAGGAAAACAACAGTAGGCATTAGAAATTGAGCGTTTTGGCAAAGAAAAATAAAGGTTTACAGTAACTAACATGAGTATTCAACTGCTTATATGATCATTTACCTGCTGTGGCCATTTCTTTTGTACAATGTTCAATGAGTAAGTGCACTCAGAAATTAGGATGCCCTATTTGTGGTGATAACAAGGATGCACCTACCCCTGTCTCTGATGTTGACTGGATAATGACCCAATCAGCAGCCAGATGCAAACTGCACATGATGCTCTCATATCCCACACCAAGCAAACGTGACTTCCGGTATGTAACCAAAAGCAAACAAGCTATATGCAACATTTAAGCATCTGTCCTATTGTAATATAGTGTTTAACTGTCAATAGTAAACTGCTTGCTAGGTCCTGATGAATAATAGTTAAAAATGAAACATACCTTTTCATTGGAGTCATATACTGTGGAGTACTGTGAAACTGTAGTGTTGACATGACACCTTGACTTGAAGGAGACACGCTATCAAACAGCAAAACGTTTTGTCAAAGGTACCAAAATCATTTACACTGAACCACACATGCAATTTTTATGGTTATCCAGTTTAATACAATTTACCTAGAAGCAGTTACATGGCTAATAATTACAGAAACTCATAGTAATCAGTCAAATATTAATTGTTTTATTTTTTATATTCTAATATTGACATTAATAAGGATGATAGAAAACAACATTTTTATAAGTAACTGGGCTGCCTATTCCAGGACAGAATGATAAAAGTGTGATTATAGAGCTAACCCACTGCATGGCATTTACTTGGAAATAATGCCTTACAAATTGTATCGTTACATCGTATGTAACGACCGTGATGTCATTATAGCAACACTAAAACGATTAAAGAGCTTTTTGTCCTTTAAACAGCAGGTAAATGGACAGCCAGATAGCTATCCATTTACGTGAAGTAGCTAAGCTCTTTCGTGGCAACCTTTTGACATTGACAAAAGGTAACTGGTCTCATGTAGAGGACCGTGCACCGATTAAAAATTCTTAAAAACGAGTGTAAAACGACACTCAAATTATCAGTGTTTATGATGGAATGGACTCCAAAGTAAAGGTTACAAAAACTTAAAGACATACATCCGAGCTGTTAGTGATGTCTCTTATAGAAGGCTTATAATATATTGTGAGATGCAGCGGCAGAACAGCACTTTATAGCTAATGTTCAGTTCCACGGAGGGGAGACAAAAGACAGTGAATATTGTAATAATTTCAACAGCTGCTCACCTGCAACCCAAATAAAACTCTTTGCAGAGCTCCACTGACTGTGTACGACGCCATGGCTGCTAGGCTGCGCGCAGGAAGGAGGTGACCTTTCAACTCGGGGGTGTGATCTGAATCAGCCAATCACCGGTCAGCTTTTCGTGCGTCATTGACCTGGCTGCAAAGACTTTTAAAGAAACATTTAGCCCTGTTGAAACGTCAGTCATGAGATGCCGACAGTGTCAGTATAGAAGTAATCTATTGCAGTTTTCCAGGTTTAATTTAATGACGAAGGACGAGCTATTGCTAAAGAAAAAGGATAAAATGTCTAAATAAAAGCAATCAAAAAGAAGCACATTCCACTCAAGCTCTATAAGTGAAAATATACCCTGAACAAAGCCTTTACTTTTCAGTACTTTTTTGCTGTTCTGTGATTCCCATTGCTTGAGTTAATGTCTTCGTGAGAGCTGAAAGAACATACTAAAAATTTGGAACAAATTTTATGTATTTGTATAGCTATTCTGTCATCTTGAATCTTGAATCATAGTATTGAACGTCTGCATATGCAACACTTACCTTATGTTCTGATATGTATAGTAATGCTACATTAAAACTGCGGCATTTAAATTTAACTCAAAGGCCTTTGATAATCAGTTTTCAGATTTTGGTGAGATGGTGTCTGTTTGCATCTGTTGACAATACATTTTGCTAAAGGCCACCTTCTATAGCTACAGGCAAATCCTGTAGCTCTAAGTCATATAAGAAGAAAAGAAAAAACACAAAATAAATCAAAGGGCCATTTGCATGGTTACAGGTCAATACACATACATACATATACATACATACAAACACATAAACTCGGCTTCAGATTAAAATCATTATATGTTTTATGTTGTAAACAAAATATTATGCATAATTTTTGAAACCACACTTCAGCTTCCACCCATTAAAGTTCTTGAATTGTAAAACAATAATTCAAAATGAATGTGCAGCATTTTGTACAATTTAAGTTTTTTTGGCAACTAGCATAAGATTTTACTTACAACTCAAAAAAAAAATTCTGAGATATAAGGTATTCATTTTGAGCCTAATAATTGTTTGTGTGTGGAGGGGGGGGGGTGTATATTACATTGTGGGGATGTGATAAAAACCTGTTATTTTGCAGTTGTGGGGACCATTTTTTCGGTCCCCACATGGAGAAATTCAGTTTTATAAAAAATCTCTGACTACAATCAAAGAAGTCTTGTGTTTTGTTTAGTTACTTATGGTTAAGGTCAGGACTGGGTAGGGGTTAAGGTTGTAATAGTTAGTGTTAGCATTTTTCCCATTGAAATGAATGAGCGGTCCCCATAAGGATATGTTTACCCTACGTGTGTGTGTGTGTGTGTGTGTGTGTGTGTGTGCGTGTGTGTGTGCGTGCGTGTGTGTGTGCGTGCATGTGTGTGTGCGTGCGTGTGTGTGTGTGTGTGTGTGTGTGTATGTCTACTCCCTCTACATGCATATATACATATGTGGATCTTAAATTATTAAGGCAGAATATATATGATGCATTTGTGATGGGAATGTGCTCTACTAACATATTATTCAAATCAATGTCTTTGTTTTAAATTGCCTGAGCATACTGGCCATACTGTTAGTTTTAGAGTATGATGCTTTTCCCATAATGTGAGTCAACAGAAAGGTTATACGGCTTACCCCCTCTGGGAAAGGCGTTTCTCTGTTTAAGAAATTGTGTTCATTACAGCAAGAAAGGAACGGGAAACAACTGTTGGGGCTGATGTGTCTCTGGGTTTGTAACTCCATCTCCTAACTGTTTCTTTTCCCTCCCCATGGGCTTTCCCTGCATGGGAAATCAGATGAAGTCCCCGATCTGCAAAGTCTTTACCTGGGGATTTACAATCCAGATGGCTACTGCTGTCACTGATTCGCTGCTGTATTGAAATATTACCCATAACTCACCATTTATATACAGGTGACTTCTAGAATTCTGCACCACAGCATCCAAGTCTCCTGAGATTTTTTTTTCTGACTCCAGAGAGATGCAGAGTCTTGCTTGATGCTCTTTAGGGTTTTTAGCTAATCTCCGGATCAGTGTACGAGTGCGTGATTAATTATGGTTAATTAACATTCAATTTGTATTTGAATAGCAAAACCTGAATAAAATGTGAATGACTGCATGGGTAGAATATGCTATTTCATTGGTCTTTGCATGGTCACAAACAAACACTGACTAACAGTTGAAATCATAATCATCACTGCCACAATCATAATCATTTTATAATATAAAGAATCACAAATCTCCAGTTTTCAGGAAAAAAAACAGGATATGTTTATTTATCAGAATTACTCAAGTTTATGCAGACTATTCTTCTGATGTGATGTAATGCTATGTAATGCGGTACAGTCAGATCCATCCAAAATGCTTAGCTTGGTGTCATTTTTACATCCATGTTCCTTATTATTATTTAGAATTGCAGCAGAATAGCTAAAAATGAGTGTTACCTAGTTCTGCCTACGAATATGCTCTGCTCTTTATGTTACATTGTTTTCGAAATTTGGTGCTGTGGCACCTTTCCCTTAAACAACCACCCCTGAGGATCAGCAAAGTGTCTACCCACGCATCCCTACCCAGACCCTGCTTCCGCGACCGCTGGCCATCTGTCTTCCCCCTGCCACAAACCCAGGAATACAGCCATGTTGTTTTCCTCTCTGTCCCATCATTTGTGGAATAAACAACAGTCAAAAAAAAAGCAAAAACATGGTATTCTCTACACTGAATATCACCTGGAATGGCATGAATATTCTTCTTTTTTTCATTTCTGCATTGATATGATCCAAGTCTTTGGGAGATAACAAAAATCTAAAACTATCAAGACCTATCAGATATATAACGATACATAATGACTGAATCTGTCAACTGCATTATAACTAAACATCATAAAATCATAACTGTTTGCTTTTCCCAGATGATTATTGTTCAATGAAAATTAAGTTACCAGCGAAGCACCATCACTTATCCTCTGTGTAGCTCAGCACTGAAATATGTACCATGTATTAAAGCTGCTTTTTTTTTAGATGATTTTATTCAGTTCATTTAAACATTGCTACACAATTCAGGTCATATGATGAATCGATTAGAACAGACAAAAGAACATGAACTTTCAAACACAGTGTTTTCACAGGTAAGTATCAATTGAAGTCAAATTGCTCTTTTAATATGAAAAAGCACATGGAATACATTTGATATCGTCAGGAAAAACTCAATAAAGGTTTTTTTTGTTTGCTTATTTAAAAATGGTACTTGGAAACGTGAAAAGTTTCGGTGACAAAAAGCTTGAAAATATTTCCTGACTGCATATATTAGATATATGTTTCATCTGGATTCCGAAACACAAATTTGAACTTATGTTACTATAGTATCGGTGACTGCGTTAACGACCTTCACCCCTGAGTGGAACACAATGCATCTGAAGATGGTTCAAAAGGTGGTCACGTTGCAGTTCATCCATCTCACATTTCTTTGATTATTCCCTATGCCGTATTAAATGCATTTTATTTTGGCAATACTTTTAAACAAAACGATCATGGTCATATGTATAATGTGAACCTAAACTCCACAAATTCTAAATTATTTACTTGAAAAGGAATAGCAAAAGTGTTTTCTATAATATTATTCTGCGAATCTTCTTGTATCACGAAGTAAACGAACATATAAATGTTTTTAAATATATTTTTACTTTAATGAAAATCAGTGATGATGTTATAAAACAGAAAATTCGCTCAGGATATCAATTTTGTTCTAAATAACCAAGGCTATGTATTCATTTATTTTTTTATATCATCTGTCGCACTAATGGTGGTTGTTAATTGTAATTTTCAGGATGATATTTACGTTTTTATATAGATAAAAGTAACTTTTAAAATGAGCATTTAAATTATCATAAAATTGTGACATCCTAATTTCCTGTCTAGTTCAATACGACAAGTTAACAGACACTTCAAGGTCACCAAGCCCAAACTGTGGATTCTTTGACCAGAAAGGACTTAGACTGAACATATACGCACACGTGTCGTTTGCTGGGAGTTTCTATTAAGCAAACTGAGCGAATAACGCGTAATGCTTGTCTAAGGAAACACAAGCAAATAAAAATGCGAAGTAGATATGTAAAAACTGAGTAGCCTATTTAAAATATGGGTTTATGACTGATTTTTCATATAGGGTACGTACCCCAGTAAATCCAGAAACCGAAATGGGAGTTATTGTCTCTATTTTATTTTAAAATGGATGTATAAACAAATTTAAATCCTCCTAATATAACTGCATGATTTTTTGTGTGTTATATAATACCGATAAACAGCCTAGATTTTTGTAGCTTCAGTTGATCATTAATGTGTATGCAATAAAAAAGACTTGTCTTCCGTAAGTTGGCTTGGCAGAAGACTTCACGTTTACTAACAGGGAGTGTAATTTCGTTTTCCCTGATTTGTAAGATATGTTCGTAGCCTGTTCAACAAGCGAGATTTCCATAAAGATAACAACCAAAAGATCTGTGGAACAACGTATATCCTTTCAAAATATGGATACCTGTTTAAATAGCTACAAGTTCAAGCGAGGACATTTCAGACATGCACGCGCGTTGATTATTTCTGAATTATTTCCTTAAGAGAGGAAAATAGGCAACCTGAAATGAATATACACGGATATGTTTAATCTGTTTTTATAGTCACTTAATGGCAGCATTATCAAAATATCCTATCAATAATGATTCATATATTTTCATATATAAAATATATTATACATACAAACTAGAGAAGAACACTTTGTTTCCCCTATTTTATGATAAAAATGTGTTTTAGCTGTTTTTTAACTATACTAACGGAATTTGCACACGACTCAATTGAAATTAAACACTTTTGCATGAAAATTGGTCTCGCTGCAAATTAGTTCTTAAAATTCTCAAACGTGACTACCTGTACCTACGAGGCTTAAGGAAATAAACAAAACTCAATTATCTGGTTCATTCAAACAATTAATATACATACTCTATATAGTATCATTTCTGTATCTATAGATTATATGTAGATTCATTAAAAAAAATAAGCGCAGATTGCAGACGTTGTGCTCTTTAAATAATGAATTGTGAATGATTATGCTGGTATTGTCATATGAAAAGGATTCACACCACCTTACAGGATTCTTAATTGAAAAAAATGCATCGGATTTAATAACAATTAAAACCCTAAACAATATTTCATGATTTTATTCTTGGACAGAAAAGTATCAATAATATAAATATTAGAAATGTTGCTTTGTTTGGCTCATTACTTTATTTTAATGTTCTGTACCTCCTTCTTCTATGTGGCTAACGGGACTCCAGGAAATGCTGTAACTGTGGACACCCCCAGCTAATATTCCATGCCAGTAAAATTTACTCTGATTATGGGAATAGTCATAGATAAAGTGATAATATAGGTCATCTTTATAGGTGTCGCTTTTAAAGCCACGTTCATGACCGAAAGAACAGACAGTGCTCGCTGTTCCAGCTGAGAAGTCTGTGTGCCCGCCATATAAGCTTCGCGTGAGCGGTGTGAATGGTGCTTAGACACTTCATGAAATTCAATGAACTTCCACAAGCCGCGACATCAAAAAGTTATGTATCTCTCAGCCAGAACAAATAAAACTCATTTTACTGCGGCATTTTCGTAATTGTAAGTGATTTTGCTTCCCAAGAAAATGGTGAAAAATAACCGTTGAAAAACAATAAACAGCAATTTCTTATTGTTTCTTCTTTTAAAAAACCATTGTAATCAGATATATACAAAGCATGATTTTATTTTTATGTCTGATAGTAATGCTCCATCATAAATGATTATCAAAAAAAAACTCTTGATCTTAAATCGTTTTAATTTGACACCGTATAAAAGACACAAGCAGGCGGATTATTCGAATTTGTTTTATTTTCACACATCATATTTAATCACAAAAGCGAGATTCGTAGTTAAAAGAGTAAGCTTTCTTTGGGACGACATAAGCATCCACCGAAAACACAGGATGGATGAGACCGACGTTCCCGGAAAATCACTGTATGTTCTCACGCGGGTGTGTCAGTATACCTACGGTTTCGGGCCCTCCGCGTTTTCCTATTGCCTCCACTGAAACTATTCAGTGAGTTCATGAACACATAAGCAAAATATTACACGGTACTTTGTAAACTCGCCACACCAGGAAAAATATTTCTTCTGAAATTTACTACGAAATGTTCTATTTACGAAGTGTTTTACTAATATTGAGTATTTTGCGTTGTTTATACTGTATGTTGTACAGACTGAAAACAAAATTGAAAACGATCGTCTTTAAACAAACAAATAAATAGATAGATAAACGTTCCACATAAAAGTATCTATCTATCTCTCTATCTATCTATCTATCTATCTGTCTGTCTGTCTGTCTGTTTGTCTGTCTGTCCATATGTCTTGGCATAAAAGTTCCGCTTCGTCAACATTAGCGACGTGTAAGCATAATAATACTTTACAAACGGATTCGGTTCAAAAGTTAGAATTTAGCTGTTAGTGTCCTTCTCTTGTCATACACAGATGCCGGTCACTCATCTACATCACCTCCGAATGGCTTTATAGATGGATTTATAGATCCACAGAGCTATATATGTGAACAACGGCAATGAAATGGGGGCAAATGAAAAACAGCGTTATACACATTTTATAAAAGTAGAATTTCAGATGACAATGCGCTCCTGTTTGTTATGGATTATCCTGTTGACTTCGTTTGCTTTGACAGTGAAACGATTGAGTGTCTATGATATACCGGAGAACCCCAACGTATCTTAGATTTCGGGCAAATTATTATTAGACCTATAAAACTGACATAAACTGGCCTGGTATAGATTCACGTCTTAATGTGCCAGGCTAAGTAATAGGTACCAAAGGCTTCTCCTCAGACCTGTGTCAAGTTCAAGTTCATGGCTGCTCGACCTCAAGCTTTATTTTCTCTAAACCTGGGGGAGGGGCGGGTATGAAGGTGTACAAATCCTTCATATACACTTCTGTTTCACAAGATTTACTTCGATGCTTGCAGCTGAGGAGTCAGTTTTTCTGTGAATTGTATTTTTTTAACCCTCAGGTAAGGAATATCAGTAAATAGCACGTAAGTTCTCCGCTCGAGGTAGACTAAATTCAGAAAGATGCTGATAAAACTGATATCACCACAAAAATGCATTTTAATTTGTTAATTTTCGACCAACGCAAGGAAAGTGACAAAAGCAAGGATTATTAGTATATCTTTAAAACAAATTAAAACGTACAGCGCAAAACTTCTTTTGGGGATTTTTTAAATAAACAATTTAGGCGTAACAGGTCTTAAATAAAACTTTTTTTTAAATCGGTGCGTTTTCCAGTCGCCTATTTATCCCGTCCGGATTGTATTTTGCTGTAATAGATGAGTGATTCCAATCCGATCCAACAGCTACCAGAATATAAGGGAATCTATAAGGGAATCTAATGGACTTAAAGATATTTCATCTAATTATTGCTACTGATGCTGCTTTTCGTTTCTTAATGCTTTTTATGCCATATTCCAATCCAATCGGTTTGCTCTGGCGCAGTTTTACGGACACAGGTAAATCAATAGTTAAAACTTACAACAACGTGTCCTCCTAAGAACACACGTCTTTTTGGAGAGTCCTATAACGTATTCAGATTCGGCTTCAGCTGATTAAAATGCTATAGACAAAGGAGAAATATTTTAGTTGCAATTAAAGTGCAATGAACATTGGTAAATAGCAAAATTATAATAATAATTTTAAACTGAACGATTTTTCAACATCTTTAAAGGAAATGGTTCAAATAGTGTTCACGAACGCATTTAAATCATTGTTAAAACGTTACATGAAAAACGTCCTAAGTCAAAAAGAAGAGCGCAATTAATTAAACACTTGCAACACATTTTATTATATTTCTGTATGCAGTAAAATTCTTGAAATTTATCACAAGAATGGAGAAAACACTTCTTAAACTTTAAACAAAACACATAAAACAGTTGTCCGCGTTTAGCTCATAATTGTACATACTTATAGTAAAGAAACATTCTTTATAAATATTGTTTTATCTGTAGCAAGTAAATACCATAATTTAATTATAAATGGATAAATATGGCAGCTAATATTTACAAAAGGAAGGATGTAGTTACAGAAAATTTAACGACACAACGTTTATTTCCCCCCACAATCCTCCAAATAGTATTTCACAATTCAAACTTGCAAAGCACAAAACATCACAAGTTAAACCCAGCAAACGAAATATACATTCACAGGCAAATATTGTGTCTGATGAGTTAAATGTTAACTTTGGCACTGGTTCCAGTTAATAGTTGTATAATTACAATCAAATTGCCTTCAGAGGATCACAATATTTAACATCAGAATACAAAAGATTTTTCCATAGTATGTGCACTCAAAGTCCAGTTACAGACATAGCTACCATTGAAGGAACATCTATGACACCAAAGACTGACAAAATCTATAACAACCATGGAAAGAGATTAATTGTTCTCTATTATCATTTACAAAATACTGAATAAATTTCAAACAATTTTTCTTCGTTTAATTATTGTATTCACAATGCAACTTTCCTGATGTTTTTTTTTCTCGCACAATATTACAGCGTCCGTTAGTTATGGGTTTATTTATACAAGCCTTTTTATGTACAGGAGTCTTCTTTTTGTTTTATATTCTGTTAAATGGCTCCGAGTTCGGGGTCTCTCTGCTAAACATACCATTCATTGAAATTGGACGATAGGCTGCTGTGCACATTGCTATTGTGGACCGCTGATGCAGGCGAAAGATTGTTGTTGCTTTGGGTCTCAGCAGAAGGGGAAACCAGGCCAGGGGGAGTCGAGGACTCGTACCCAGAACTAGCCGCGGGCGACGAATCAGAGGCTGGAGGAGAAGCTTCGTGAACCTGGCAATAAAAGACACAATGAATTCATCACTTTATTTTTTTCAACTTTGTCGCTGCATGCTGCACCAGAAGGCACGTCGAAACACGCAAATAAAAGTAAAAACAAACACATGCAAACGCGTGTAAATATCCAAATTAATGACTCTTAAAGGAAATCTTTTTACCTTCATGTGTTTTCTTAAGGAGCTGGGGTGAGTATATGACTTGTCGCACATTTTGCAAAGATACGGTTTATCCGAGGTGTGCACGTGCATGTGCTTCTTCCGGTCACTGCTATTCGCGAAGCGTCTGTCGCAGCCCTCGAACTCACACTGGAATGGTTTCTCTCCTGTAAAAGAAAATACGTGGTGCTTTAGAATGAAACAATGTTCCAAAAGGATTTTTAAACCATTGACAATGCCCAAGGAACCATATACACTAAATAAATCGATTCGGAAATAAAAGCTACACAAAGACAGTAATATAAGCTTAGTACCTAGGAACGAAGCAATTAGCAATTAATGTTTAAAAAAACAATACCCATCCGTCCATATATCTTCCAACTGCTTATACAGCCTTGAATAGAGAAACGAATAACGGGGCGTTTAAGATTAGGCCTGCGTATGTACACTCGTCTATTTTTATACATTCTTCAATCAATTGATGAAAATCAAACCATGCAAGCCAAATGTGCTCCATCATTTTATTAACACTTGACAATAATGCTTCTGAAAAAATAACTAATATTGCAGGGAAATCGAAGGACCACTTAAAATCAATATAATCAATATTATTTAAACGGCGTGGAATATCACTGTAGCAATGGTCGTAATGTAATTTGAGCACTTTTACTATTTTAATGATCAACGATTGATGCTTGCGTTGTGTTTTCATATTTTCACAAGGCTCGGAAGTCGTCAAATAATAATAAACAAATAAATAAACAATAATAATACTAATAATAATAGCCGATTTTTAATTTATCTGAAAAGCCAAGAATAAACTCCATGGTGGTCTGCATAAATATGGCCCGCGATTGTAAATGAAACTGTCAGATAAAATATATAGTATTCTTATAGATGTTATCAATGCCACATGTAACCTCACTCAAAAAGCCACACCATTTGGTGAGCAATAAAAATGCAAATTGCACCTGGACGATGTCAGTCTCCGCGACTTAAATAAATTAGCGGAGTAAACAAGAATAAATTTGCTAAATCCTTGCAATGGCCTGTCTAGCACCTACTCTCTCTGGAATGTGTGGGAAAACAAAAGACCATTGATTCTTCTGTTCTTGCAGGGAAAACATTCAGCACGTTTAAATTAAACTCATTCCCAAGAAAAAGGATATTGATATATTTTAAAAAGCAAATTCCACTGCAAAGAAACACACATCACAAAACTACTTCCACTTGTAGAAGATGGACAAAACAGTGAATGTATCCCGTGCAAGGAGATGCATAATCAACCCAGTGAACACGTTTATACCTCCCTAAGCAAATAAAACACTAAATTTAACTTGCTGCCGAATATCCTATAAGAGAAGCCACTCATTTACCCTCCCATCGGACGCGTTCATATCGTATTTATATGACTTGCCGTGATATTATAAAAATATATCCTATTGTCGCTCGAGCTTAATATCCAGGGTTACAAAAAAGCCCGAGAGTTGCAACAACAGAGCAAATTATATAAATAAGTCGAAGTATAATTACCTGTGTGTGTTCGCTTGTGTATCTTCAAGTTTTCTGATCGCGCGAAAACCTTGCCGCAGCCGGGAAATGGACAGGGAAACGGTTTCTCCCCAGTATGAACACGAATATGATTTACCAGTTTGTATTTAGCTTTGAAGGGTTTGCTCTCTCTGGGACATTCTTCCCAGAAACAGACGTGGTTGCTCTGCTCCGGTCCCCCGACGTGTTCCACTGAGACGTGGGTGACCAACTCGTGCATGGTACTGAAAGTTTTATTGCAACTCTTTTTTGGGTTGCTGAGCTGCTCCGGGTCGATCCACTTGCAGATTAACTCCTGTTTGATGCACTGCTGCCGCATGTAGCGAAAGAAGGCACCAGGATGGTGATGATGAGCAGCCATATTCATGCCCATATTCATTGAACCATACTGATTGTGGAGTTGGGCTGCGGAGTATGGGTCGGTCCTGGGGCTGGATACCTGATGATATTGATCGGATCGTCCGAAAACTTCTCCGGGTAGTCCAAGTCGCATTTGTCCATTCAGCACGTTTGGAGAGCCATGGGACGCATGTTGATCGTGGATCGAAGGAAACAATATGTGGCCTTGACTATCTGTATGGGAGTGATGGAGAGACCCCGCTGCGGGGCCAAAAATTGTATGTTGGCTGCCAGCCGGAGACGATTCTCCGAAGCCGCGACTGCGAAAGAGAAAGTCCCTTGTAGAGTTAAAAGGCGAACTCGCGTACGACGTGACATGGGCTGCATGTGCGCCCAGAGCCGCAGCGGGATAGCCCGTTGCCTGAGAAGTAAAAGCAGAGCTCTGTCCCGGAGATAGATCGTGGTTCAGTTTAAAAGCACCCATGTGTGCAGAATCGACAAAGCTATTTTGTGCTAAAGTCAAGTCTCTGTCTTGCATTTCGCTTGCTGAGTGGTGCCTGGCAAATGTGCCAACTCCCAAGCCGGGAAACTGGTGACCGGCGTCCAGTAACATTATTTCTCGTTGAGTACGAAATTTATTGAAATTAGTCGTGCGTTCAACAACGCGGCGAATGAACTGTACCTAAAAAATATATATACATAAAAAAATACCTAGACTTCTGTGGAGGTACCGCTCTCCCAACGCGAAAAACACCTCATCAGAAGAAGTTCAGAGCGATGATCCGCTAGCCGCAAAACACTATCGTTCTTTCTAAATGACTACGTCTATATATTTTTTCTCGCAGTTAACTTGTAACTCAAAATCCCCATGAAAAATGTTGAAATTCCTTTCGCCTTTTCCCGTAGAAATGAGTGTGCTTTTACACAAACATGAAGAATGAATAATTGTCTTACTAGATCGTCCGTAAACAGAGCGCGGTTCCTTGGCGCATCTTGAATTGTTGTTCCGACTGGTGTGTTTATTTCTTTCTTTCGATTGTCTGTGTTTATCTCGGAGGGTCTCTCTTTCTCAGTGGACTGGCAGTTCCTCCTCTAACACCCCCTTTAACTGAGGCCCGGTCATTCACATGCCGCAGTCTTATTGGCTACTGTGCCTCATCAATCCTAGGTACCCCTCCAATAGTAGGTACCCCCCTCGCTACTAATGGCTGCTCGCCATTTTCCACTAATAATTACCGCCTACTTTTTTCGGAGAAGCTTCTCAGGGAAAGAAGGAGAGAGAGAGAAAAATATATACATTCGGTTATGATTACGGAAGCCCCTGTTATGCAAAAAAATATTGGCAGACCGCTAATAATTGGCAGACCGATAATAATAAAGCTCTCGTCGCGAGCACATTTACACGGTATTACATGGCGCAAGAACATTTGATTATATTCAGATAATACTTTTTAGTCATTAAATAATTCAGACACAGTTATAATAACCGGTTCCCGATTAGCGCTCAACACAAATAAAAGTTGTTAAACAAATCAAGCATGCTGACCTACACCAAATCAATATTATAATTTAATGTGTTGATGTCAATATATACGAATAAGGTAATATAATAATAATAATAACAACAACAACAACAATAATAAAAATAATGGTTACATTCTTCATGATATGCATATGAAAGTAAGAAGTATATTTTGAAATTCTGGATAACCTACTCTCATTTCATCTTCTAAAAAGTTCAGAACGCGAGTTATTTTGACATTAATGAGCTTCAAACCGATATTCAGATCGTCCAAGTCAATTTCAAAAAGCACGCCTCCAATGCAATATGTTTTTTTTTTGTTTTCATCAGATCAAAATGTAAGAAGACTACTACTATGTACATGCATGTATGTAAATGTATAAACACAAAAGACTGCTAAGTAGCAGATGTGTTATATTAAATTAATAACTTCATCATGATATTTAAATTTGTCGTTTAAACATACTAAACAGACGTAATATACGTTACAAATCCAATTATATACTCTTATATATTTGTACATTGCGGAGATTTTTTTTACTCCCTATATGTTTTTTTTTTTTTTTTTTGAGAATTCAAAAACACAATTCAGTATTGTTACCCTTGGAGTTGCAATTCCATATTCGTATTTTACCCTTAGCAATTTCAAGAAATGCATGGGCAACAATATATATGTGAACGTTTTAGAATAGATTAATTGTGAAGAGTACTGGGGGAAAATATACAGATTTGTACATTAAATTTAATTATGGCAATTTTTATATTTCAAATGTATAAATATGATGTCACTGGTCTGGTGCATCCGATTTTGTGACAAACGTGAATTTTATCTGATGCAGCCCCGGTAATGGGTATCTGCATGTAAATACAAGGCAAGCCAGTTTTCTTTCAAAGCATCAGCCGAGTTTGCACATTCACGCGGGGCAATAGGTGCCCACGAGCTGCGATGGTTTCTTGCCAATGTGTAGGTATGAAAACGTATATCATTATTAAGGTCTTTTACTTACATGTCTGATGAATAAATGTTTCGTAAGGTTGTCTTCCATTGTTGACCAAACTTTCTCTTCTGTGTCCAAACGGTTCAGCTAACTGTTTTTTGGAGAGAGGAAAGATATATAAAAAAAAAACCTTAGGAATTCTGTCTGTCTCAGCCCAAAAGCCCTGCAGTCTGGACGTTATGTACAATTCCTCCAAGACTCCATTTCTACCCTCTCTGCAGGAATCATAGGAGCTGATCCAAGTTCAAAGTCACGTCTGCCGACGCCTTTAAGAATCGCTTATTTCTGTGGAAAACCGCAAAACCCATTTCCCATGTCACTAAGTAGGGAGGGGAAAAAAAGAAAAAAGAAAGAAAATGAAATCGGTCTGTGACTTATTGCTGCAAATACTGATTTCCTCACAGCGTTGATAAGATAGACGGCAGAAAATGCACGAACTCTTGTAAAATAAACCTTTTCAACAGGTTATGAGGGACCAAGACGTACACAAGAAGAAAAGACGTTACACTGGCAGGATTAACACTTACATTTGAATACAGGTTTTCAGAACATAGGTAGATGTCCCTTTGTACAGGATGAATATTCGAAACATGGTATTTATTCTACATATATTCCAAATTTGTTCTGCTCTGACAGTGCAGAGAGCACATGTTCCAATCAACTTTTTTTTTTAAAAAATATATTGCCGGAATTAAAAGTTAATTTGGAGAATTTTATGTATAATGCCTGCGAGGTTGTACGACATCAACCGAGTATTTTAAACTCATAAATTTAGAAAGTCTTTCAGCCTCCGGATGCATTACAGGCTACTTATTTGATTTAAACGACCTTGGTACTTCAAGGGCGTATGACCTACGACCCGCCAAAACCCACATATGTTGTCTTAGTTTATTCAGTAAAACAAATGTTTGTGTAAAACCCCAGTTTCAAAAAGCCCCGCCCTCTCCTACCGAAATCTAAACTTAACGCTATTTGATTTAATATTGTCAATCTCAAAAATTTCAGAAATTAATATATAAATTGGACGACCACTAATTTTGGCGTCTTCCTGTGTCGTAATTCGTTTAACCGTTTATTTGCCAGTTAATTTAAATACCATTATTTGGGCCAAGAGAGCATGAACTATTGGAGAATTATCTATCGTTCACATTTACATTATAATACAGAATACACATAAGATCCAACCGATAGCCAAGCGTCAGGTATACAAGAAAATCTCATTACAAGAGTAATAGGCTACATATTTAATACAGGTTTCATTTCCCAGGTAGCCGTACAATTTACATTTGCTATGATAATACTCCATCCATCCATCCATCCATCCATCCTCCATGTCCATCTCTGTCGATTTGTAGAAATTGTGCAATATTACTTTTTAGGTATATGGGCGCCATATATATGGAGAAAAATAAATAAATAAACCGATAGGTGGGTAGATAAATAAATAAATAACAAACAAATATATCCATAAAATCAATAATACGCCCAGCCACCATATGAGTGTATCGCATTTCATTTATATATATATATATATATATATATATATATATATAGAAAAAAAACTATTTAAATAAAACACCTAACAGAGTTACGTGGACGTGCTTTTCCACATAATCCATTTGGGATGTGGGTTTTACATACATGTATACCTGTACAACTGATAAAACGAGAGAACTTTCACCGATGTTTCACAGCCTTGTGTCGTAACTTCCATTGAACATATCTTGCATTTTACGCGGTATGCTGCAATTTGTTCTTGTCCTTAACAGTCATCCTGATTATTTTCAAAATGTTTGATTGTGACTGTTACTTTTCAGTGTGCATTCCATCCAATGGCAGTAACCAATATTGATTTTATAGGCAAGCACATTGATTTTACCGACCTATGAATTCTTTGTCTTTAAACCAAGAATGAATGTTTATACTTAGGCTAATACATCTTAATTACTTTCAAAATGTTTTGGTGCAAATGAATAATCCAAATGATATATTTATAACACTACACTGAATGGTACTATGTTATGATGATACGCCATTAATAAAAACAGGTTAATTTAGTTACTCTGATGGACTCCCCTTGTAAATGCTTTGGAACACTTGGTTATTGGGAACATTTCTAAATATTAAGAGATAAAACAGATCTATTCTGTTGTGTATAGACTAAAACACGCGTAAGCAAAATGAATAACACAGTTGTAGATTTATTTTCTGACGATTAAACGTAGAGTAACTTTTGGGATAACTAAAAACTCCATCCATAAGATCTAGGATTTTGTTATTTTTTTCTTAATCCCACTACTATATATATCGATTCCAAGGGTGTCTTTGAATTAAGACATATTAAATCGATGACATACACATCACGCTGAGTTCAACAGGGATTCTACAAGAAGGCGTGCACTGATACCATAAAATACACCAATATACAGGTTTACAAGTTTCCCCCCTTTCCATTCATGCGTAAAGTCATAAAAAGTGAATACAATTGAGCTTGGGTGTGTTGGCGATGAAAACAACACACACACACACACACACACACGCACACGCACACACACACACACACAGACACACATACAATTGGTGTTCTGTTATGAGTACATTCCTGAAAACCAATGCAGATTCTGGATGCCAACTCGGAGTGAAAAATATAAGAATTTAACGAAATTCACGTAATTACAATATAAGCATTTTATTTATTAATAATATGAACTTACCCTTTGGAGATCACTAAAAGACCACTATCCTGAGCATAGTTGGTAGTTTTAGAAGATATCATAACGTAGTTATGAATTACAGTATATTTGAAGCATCTTTACACTGTATTAAATACTTTAACTTTGAAATTAACGCGTTCTGGATTATTAAACAACATGCAACCATGCAAGTATTCGGCACTCCCAGGTCACATGTCTCTACTGCACTTTTAACATAATGGGTCAACAGTGCAAACCAATTTACTTAAACTTTGCGGATTGCTTTCGGGTCCATTCGAAACACACTGTGTGGCTGAATTAAAACGGGTGCTTTGTTCTTCGCGTCATGCAATTTGGATATCCGATTACGAAGAATCTGTATTTTCAAACACGCATTTCGCACGAGACTGATGGCATGTTTACATTTCAGACGGCGATTTAGAAAGTTAACAAGTATAAACGTGTGGGTTTAACAAATTTTGAAAATCGAGGTGCTCCACACATACAACTATTTTGGCAATAAAATGCATGCGAATTTTAACACGAGATCAAGTCGAATATACAAACTCAGAGAATCAGATCCACCGATAATGTAACTTTGAAAAATGTAACACTATTTCTAACACATTAGCTGGCAACTACGTTACTCACCCACCATTGGACAGGGTGAGCTGTTACCTCTTTTAATTTTCACAGAAAAGCTAGTCGTAGTGATTCTTACATCATTTGCTTATCTGCTCAAGTATTAAATGTAGATACAATATAATTAATGAGGATGCTAATCTGGGTTAATTTCATTTTAGCATCATTAAAATGATAAATGACCGGCGCGAAATTATTTAAAATAAAAATAAAGGATTATTCAATCAATTTATTCGGGGGCTTTCAGTCGACTTTTTTACTATATCCACGTGCTTAACTATCAGCAAACATAAACAAACATAAACAGATTTTCTGTTAACTTTGTGAGTACAACTTTTGGAAACAACAGCGATGAAGGGAGTGAGGGGGCGGATCCCCGCTGTGCCTCTGCGCTGAAAGACAGCCAATCGCTTCATTCGCTTAACTGCCAGTCACCGAAATCCGTCCAATACCCACAGTGCCATTTCTAAACTGTATTCCCCACTGTGTCCTCCAACTGTTGTATGTTCTGCCAATCGCTTGAGGACAGAGTGGGAAAAGGAACAAGCAGAGTTAGAGGCAGGACAAAAGAAGTTATATACACCGCTATATACATATATAAAAATTACGATTTTGAATGGCGTGCATCGGAAAAAAACAATAGAAGTGAGTTTGGATGGACTGGGCAGAGTAGCTATGGAGCTCCCTTTGAGCAAGAGGAATCCGGCGCTAAGATTAGCGGATTTGGCAGCGACTCAAACCCTTCCTCATCAGAATATGACAGGCTTCCCGGGGATAGGGGGGCATCACCCTCACTCCCACCATGCCCACCTCCACCCTGGGGAGATGGGCAACGACCCTGGAGTGGTACTCACTCCATTTGGACCTGAGCACATGGCACAGACAAATGCTCTCAAACTTAGTCCATCTCAACACATTCAAAGCCACCCCGAAGCCCAGACCGCGGCATCTTTTACTTCTTCTCAGACCACAGTTGGTTTCCCCGTGGCTCACCCCCACTCAGGCTATACAACCTGCAGGGACTACGTCCTCAGGAGAGAGCTCTCAGCCTCTGCTATGCATGCACTTGGCGACCAACATAGTTCCGCCTCCTCCCCTCATCACCATGGCATGTTCATTTCCCCAACAGGTGCTTATGGGCACGCGGAAGGTGGTGCCCATCCACTTTTTACTGGACTCCACGATCAAGCTGCCCCAGGTGCTCACCACCATGCTCTCAACGGGCAGATGCGTCTGGGTCTTCCGGGGGACATCTATGGCAGGCCAGAACACTTCGGCCACAGGCCCGAGCACTATGGACCTTCATCTCTCCACAGCTACAACTCCATGAACTTAAATGTGAACATCGCTTCAGCTCCTCATGGAGCCGCGGGGGCGTTTTTGAGGTACATGAGGCAGCCCATCAAGCAAGAGTTAATCTGCAAATGGATTGACCAGGAACAAACTTCAAAGAAGCCATGTTCCAAAACTTTCAGTACAATGCACGAGCTGGTTAACCATGTCACCGTGGAGCACGTCGGGGGACCGGAGCAGAGCAGTCACGTTTGTTTCTGGGAGGAATGTCCACGAGAGGGAAAGGCTTTCAAGGCAAAGTACAAACTGATAAATCACATCCGAGTTCACACGGGAGAAAAACCATTTCCCTGCCCTTTCCCGGGTTGCGGGAAAGTATTCGCTCGTTCCGAAAACCTCAAGATCCACAAGAGAACACACACAGGTTAGTTACAGGACGATCGGTAACATTTTATGAAGCAGAGTTGCCTTTACAAAAAACGAAACTATCTTTAAGTTGGAAAAACATTGTAGCACTAGAG